AGGCTGCGTCCTCCACAGCCCATCTCGTGTGCTGCCCCCTCCACCCCCCCTTACTACAACCTCTCTGTCAGGAAAGATCTAGCGAGGCGCTAGTGGAAGTAAGGAAAAGCTGCTCGATGCATTTGCATAATGTTGGGTGAGAAGGGAACAGACGGTGTGCTCCACAGCGTGCCTTGGGCCAGGCCACCATCAGTCCTGCTCCTCCGCAGCCTCCTGGAGACTAACAAAACCCATTGCATTTTCCATCTCTCTCTGTTAGTTCACAATAATGAATGTATATCAAAGAGACTAAAAAGAAGATGAGGATACCTTGTTTTCAAATATTGTGATATCTCTGATTATTTTTCATAGCACGAGGCTCTAAATTCTGTAATGCTCTCCACAATGGAAATGATGGAATTATTTTACTATTTATGGAATACAAAATTAGATTTGAGAAGCATAAATAAATATGCAATAGGAAATAACTGCAATGGCAGGAAGATGAACTTGCTGACCTAAGAGGTCTTTTCTCTCTTTAACTCTAGTGATTGCATAGATATATTTTCACTTGTTGTTAATAAGAAAATAATAAATGTAGCTAAACATAATGAAACTTGAGAATTCTTGAGCTGATAAGCTATATAGTTAAATAGTCATACATATTTAATAGCCAAAGAAGGAAAATATAATTTACTATTTATGATGTTCAGTCTTTGAAATGTTTCTGTTACACCTATAAAATGTATTTTTAGCGGCCATCATGAATTTGTTCAATGGTGGTGTTTCAGAAGCCTCTATTTCTTTTAAATCCCAACACATTGTGTATTTTCTGCCCAGATGGTCTTCAGAGTCTAGGCAAGGGTCTTAGACATGTCTTCGGCTACAACAGCACTGTGTTTGGGAGAAAACGATGTCTCTGGCTCCTAGGGGATGGGTTAGTCCAGGTCAAGACCCAAGAGAGGTGGCAGTATTGACCCACTCACCCCACACGTGGTGGAACTACCTCCCAGCCACCTTTGTCTGTTGGCCTCTCTATATTGGATCCTGATCTCTTCCGCACGTTGCAGTATCCCAAGAAGAAGGGTTATTTGGCAATCGAAGAGTAGAGAGACAGAGGAACCAGCACAACTACATCTGTGTGCACCTGCTTTCCCAATGTAGTGAGCAACCAACCTGTGGGCACCTCATCTAGCTATGGGCAAAACAACCTACCTGGTTTTTAATCTTCAAGGCAGGAACTATGTGTGAGTTTACCTGAATCCCAGTGGAATGAAGTTCCATTTCTTCCTGAGATAGTGACAAGACTGACAAGATACAGGTTTTAAAAAATAACATGAGTACGACAGGATTAGAGATGTTCTGACTCAGTGCCACTCTCAGTAAAGTGCACTGATGACAAGCAGAATAGCTTTTAATACTGGGAGGGGCAACACGAATGGAAATTAAAATGCAACGAATGCCAGGAAAAGAGCTGCAACCTGCACATTCAGGAAACAGTGTAATTCTAGCTCAGTGCTGATCCTGCATTTGACAAGAGTTAAATGAAATGGATGCTGCTTTTGGCTGCTTGGGGTCAATAAGACAAAAGTTGGTATTTGACCTGTAACTTTCTACAAATTACCAGGCCATGTAAAGATTAGTGCAACCTGTGGTTTAGAAGTTAACTATAGACAAAGCACTTTGATATATTGGTCTAATTCACCACAAAAGATTTTTCTTCTGCTCTCCTCTGGATGCGTCCTTGAAATAGGCTATTTTTAATGGCTAATTCTCACCAGAAAATTGTCACACTTGTCACTTGAGTACTTTTCCAACCACGTATCGTCTATTACTTTAGATTCGCGTTTTAAAATACCACCTCACTACACGGCATACAGCGATTTAAAAATACAAGTAACGTTTTAAAACATCATGGGGACTACACACTTTGTTCTTTTGGGTTAATTCTTACTTTCAATTACTGCTGTTTGGCCAGCGCTAGCAGTTCCGTAGTGCCAGTGGCGACTCGGTTTAGTTTATGATGGGTCTCGTTTGCCCCCTTGTGGTACAACTACAAAAGACAGACCGAGCTGTAGTTTGCTCTTTTTTTTTTTTTTTGGCACATTTTTTGTAAAATTTTATCTATTCTAAGCAAAAAGAAGGAAGCAATATGGGTCTGTTCCAAACCCTGCTGAAGTTAATTAAGATGGCAACATACGAGCTAATAGCTAAAGCAGAAATGGTACCGTTACACCTCACTGATACAGCCGTGAGGCTTTCGGTTCTGTGTTTGACTTCTCAACGTTATGAACAAACTGCCTTGATAACCAAAAAATCTGTTATGAAGCTGCAAAGCAGTAATGAAGCCTTTTGCGCAAACTGATTAAGAAGCTTCTAGGGCTGTTAATAAAAATTAGTCTTCTGTCTTTTCTCTTGTAAAATCACTCAGTTGTGGTAAATTCAGTTGTCTTCAATTATGCTATTAATCCTCTGGCTCTGCTTTTCTTATAGAGTTTCATATTTTTACTTTATCAAGAGCGTGAAGTAAAAAATTGTGACCACCAAAACAGAGAGAATAATAACAAAAGAACGGTACTTTCTTGTATGTCAGCTACATCATTTATTCTTTGTAACCTGAATAAAGAACTAGATTCCAGGAGATTGTGCTGCCAGACTACTATGAACAGAATATCTTGGCATCGTCTGACAGCTAAAATAAAAAAAATCTGCATCCCAGCTTCAGAGGCCTTCGGATTACAAAGGAGGCCGAAAGCCATTAGTCTGTAGAACTGGCTGACAATGGAAAAGGGGAAAGTGCATCATCTGACATATTTAAAACTGCATGGAGATCAGTCTTGAACTGTCAAGGTGATGGACTACCCCTAACAGGCCTTTTCCATTTTTAATTTCTCTAATCAGAATCATGCTTCAAGCTCTATACTAGTGACAAGCAATCTCATTTTTAACTGCAAGTTACCACAACGGGAAATATCAACAACCTAAGCACTGTGGGAAAAGGCTGATATTATTTGGAAGAACATTTATGTATAATACAGAAAACAGTAGAGGATCACTATATATAATTAATCTGACTCTACATACCTATTATCATAATGTCTGTCCTAATTACAGAAAGTATGAGTTTCCTAAACCCCACTCAAATGCCACTAATCTATTTTTATCACAGAGAGTCATGTTTTCATTTTTATTATCATTCATTGTCTTACAGCTGCTAAATACATACGGAAGAAATAGATTAGCATGAAATATTGGGATTTGGAATAGGATACCAATTTACTGTCTCTGCTTTTTTAATTGCTATAGACAGCAAATAGCAGCAATCTGGCGCTAACGGGGATTCATAAGCTCTGTAACACAGACCAGAGCAGCCAACGCACCTGATCCCTCAGCTTCTCTCCCAGCTCCCCCACGGTTCTCTCTTCAGCAGGTCTCATATGAACCAAGGAGAACTGCAGGTTTACCAGCTGACCTGGAAAATCGGCTCACTTTACTTTCCAAATTTGTCATTTCTACTACTTAAAATTTGCTATTTAAGATCAAGCTTTTTCATTCTAAGAAGAACTATTCAGTGGACATCACATATTCACACAAGCATCACAGAAACTTGTGCAAGTCTCGCATAAAAAACATATGCCATTCATCAGTTCTGGGTATTTACTGTTATCTGATACTTGCTATTCTGCAGTAAAATTCAAGGGAAAAATTGCCAATGCTAATTAAACAATAATTCCCATAGATTTCAATATGGATCAAACACGAAAACTTCTCTTTAGCCTGCAAAGTGATCATAAGTCAGCAAAATAAATGAAAAACAAATACTTAAGCCTGAATGTTGATTAAAAGTAAAAATTGAAGAAAAATTAATTGGGTGCATAAATTTAAGTTAAAAAAAAAAAGCAAGCAAGCAGAGAACTTACAGTGAACACCATAAAAAGAATGCCATTATTTATGTTTCTGTAATTGATTTGCTAGAGGAATTTTCCCTCTAACAAGGACAGAAGTAGATTAAACATAAATGTAGCTTACAGGGTATCTCACTCAAGTCAGTGGGACTAATCCCAGATTTAAGTTAAGCATGTACCTCAGTACCTTTCATATCAGGCACCTAGCATAAAACAAGCCAAATAGGTGTATACTGATAAATTAAATATGCTCTGCACTCTTTAAAATAGTGTTACCTGATCTCTCTTAAATAACAATTAAAAGGGATCGCTACAACACATTTGTACTTATGAAAACAATTTTGTAAAGGGAAAAGTTCCCTTGCACAAGCTGTATTGAAAATATTTTCCATTTAAAAATTAGCTGTCAGATTTTGTCAGTGGAATATATTGTATCGTATTTTTGAAGATTAATCTGTGAAATGCTTTTTTCCCCACAGAATTATGAAATTTCATGTGGCAAAGAGAAAGTTTAAGGAAACACTTCGTCCATATGATGTCAAAGATGTCATTGAACAGTATTCAGCAGGTCATCTAGACATGTTATGCAGGATTAAGAGTCTTCAGTCACGGTAAGGAAAGAATAATTTCTGCTCTGCATAAGCATCTTACATCATTCACTGCATAATAAGTATTGGTAACATTTAACATTCCTGTGTTATATTTGGGTACAAATCGCCATCCATGCTTCAGCCCAGCCTATCTTTCTGTGAATACAGCCGAGCCAGAAATTACATTGTGGGTAAAAGCAAACAAAAAACTATGTATCTGAATTGTCCCCAGAGAATGGAAGTCTGAGCAATAGAAAAGGTAATCTTTTATCTGTAAAGTCCATTCATAAACAAGGAATTTAGTCAGGAGGTTGCCAAAAGGATGAGGTCGACATTGAGAACTGTGTTTCTCCCATCCCAGGCGTTCTCTTTTCACATAAAAGAAATTGGGAACTACTGGTAATGTAGTATTTATGTACAGTTTATGTTCTAGATTCCCAGCAATAATAATTCAAAAAAGAAAAAAAAAAACAAAAAACAAAACAAAACAAAAAAAAACATTGCATCATGTGTATCATTATCAGCACCAGGGCTGAGATTCCTGCTTCAAACCGATCACTTTCCCAGGACTCGATGCTGCTGTTAGGACGGGAGAGCCGAGAGCGGCACTGGTACGTCTGTTCCTCCACAACATCAGGCTGCTGGAGAGGCCACCTCCTCTCTCCCTTCTCACCAGGTCTAGCCCCGGCTCTCCCAGATGATGGCTAAGTTCTGGCCTCCAGTTAGGGCCAAGGGAAAAGAAAAGCAGTCTCAAATGTTCAAAAATCACTCTTTTTTTAATTTATTCATTAATAAAATTAAGTTTGTCTTCCTTCTCAAGTGCTTTTCTGAAGTACAATTCCATATGTCACCATTTTCAGGAATCACAGCAGCTTTTGATTTCTCTTACAGCGTTGATCAAATTCTTGGGAAAGGACAAATCACAGCAGATAAAAGAAGTAGAGAAAAGAATCCTGCAGAGAATGAGACAACTGATGACCTCAGTATGTTAGGGCGTGTAGTCAAGGTGGAGAAACAGGTAGAGTGATTATCTGTGTCACTTTGTCTTGCTCTATTGCTCATGCCTTTTACGCATTTCATTGCCAGTTTCAAAGGCTGAACAGGTAATTTTTTTTTTTCCGAATATCTGCTTCATTTACATGTTGCAATAAAATGGATATGAATCGTATTACCCTAACTGTCTCCCACATACAGAGAAGTAAGCAAGGAAAAATCACAGGTTACTAACTTTAATTTTTTTCCCTTTTAATAGCTTGTTTGTGAAAAATGTACATGGCTTTTGACATTATTTTTCAAGGGTCAATAGCGTATACCAAGCTCCTTCCATTTTCTCTTCAGCAGTCACATTTTCCCTTTGCTGGCGTTCCAAATATTTTAAATTAGCATTTGGCATTAATGTTAACCTTCTCCTCTCCTCCTGTAGGTACAATCCATTGAGTCAAAACTGGACTGTCTATTAGATATTTACCAACAAGTTTTGCGAAAAGGATCTGCATCTGCGCTCACTTTGGCTTCCTTTCAAATGCCAGCTTTTGAGTGTGAGCAGACTTCTGATTACCAGAGTCCATCAGACAGCAAAGATTTGTCTAATTCTGCACAAATTAGTGGATGCGTATCCAGATCAACTAGTGCCAATCTGCCTCGTGGCCTACAGCTCATACTGACACCAAATGAATTTAGCACTCAGGCTTACTATGCTTTTAGTCCAGCTATGCATAGTCAAGCAACGCAAGTGCCAAACGATGGACCTGCAGCAGTTAATAATACATCAAACCAAATAAACCAGGCAACTAAGCCAGCAACTCCAACAACATTACAAATACCACCCTTCTCATCAATGAAGAATATCAATAGGCCTGAGCCCGTTCATATTATTCCTGTGACCACACAGGAAAATATTTCCGATGTCACCGCTTGCCTTGTTGCATCAAAGGATAATGGACAAGTTGCACAGCCCAGTGCGACGAAGGATCTCACGTGGAAAAAAAGTCTGGATACAGAAGGGGAACCTTTGCTCTCAGTTAAACCTGTGGTGCAAATGGATTTAGGAAAATCTTTATCTGTACAAAACCTTATACAATCAACAGAAGAACTGAATGTACAGATTGCTGGCAGTGACTCCAGTGGTTCCCGAGGTAGCCAAGATGTATACTCCAAATGGAGGGAGTCAAAATTATTTATAACTGATGAAGAGTTGGAGACAGAGGCAGGAACAGAGACTACTGAAGCCATCTCGCGCCCGTTAGTGGAAACAACTCTCTCTGCTGACTCTCTAAGGACTGGAATATCAAGATCATCTCAAAGCATTTGCAAGCCAGGGGATGGTACAGAAGCACTCAATCTGCTCCACGTCAAACTTAAGTAACAGCTTGTGGGCTTTCTTCATTGGCTGGGTCATTCCTCTAGTCATACATATCATAGCATGAACTGTTTTGAAAGCCTTTTTAATAAGATAAAATCACAAAAATCAGGATGAATCTGAGAAGCAGCTGAATGAGCCCATATCTCCTAGTTGCATGAAAATGCATGTTTAAGTGATGGCTGACATTCAAATTTACACCTACAGTACGGCAGCCTTTATGTAGTACGGTAGGTTTAAATGATGAGTTGCCTACAAAGCTAATGCTGCAGGATGTATCAAAAAGCAAAAATTTGAGCATTTAGACCTAGTGCCGTTTCTACAGGGCAGAAGTAAAAATTGTAAGGTTTAAAGCACTTTGCTTCTGAACTAATTAAATATATATATAATGTCCTGATTTAGATGATAGTTTATGTTTACAACAAAAAATTATCTACAGCTGCTAGCAAGGTACCAAGGAAACCAGTAATATGGGATTAGAAATGGCTGCCAGTTGCAAGATACACTCATTAGCTCATCAGTAATCAGTTATTTTTAACTCTGAAAAACGGTATGTTAATATCCATCCGATTTATGGTGATTTAGTGCTGTGGCAAAAGTACCTGACACACCACTGTCACGTTGTTCTTTATAACAAGAACATTATTTTGCTACGAAATGTTTGTATTTTAAAGGATCGGGGCTGGCCTCAGAAGTGGATATCCTGGGTGACTGCACTAAAAATTCAGGGGAATCTCTCCTTCTTCCAGTCTCATTGAGGAGCTATATCTTGTGAATCTGAAATATTTTGGCAGTGGTAGGTGAGGGAAGGAAGCATGCACTGCCTTTATTGTAGAAGCAATACTTCCTTCTGCAGAGATTTTTGGCAATTTTCCTTGCAGTCCCGCCCTGATACCATGACAGCACTTCATAAGGCTGGGAAAGGAGGGAAAATGAAGAACTGAAATACAGAGTAAAACTAAAGAGGATCCAACAGGGAAGAGAGAAAGACAACACAATCAATGAAGAAAAAAAAATATTAATTTAGATGGGCAGGAAGGGAAATGATCCTAGAAAATAAAAGAAGGAAGGTAAAGAGGCAAAATGATATATTGGTTTGGTTTTTTTTAAATCCAGCCTGTCAGTCACAGATATTGAGTACGATTTCCAAAAAAAAAAAAAAAACCCAAAAAAACCCACCAAACGTGTAGGCAATCAGAAATGGAAACAGAAGTAGGGAAGACCATCTTAACTGAAAAAAAACCCCTGGAGACCAGGGGGGTTTTTGGGGGTTTTGGTTTTGTTTGTTTGCTTTTTAAATAAAAGAGGAAGAGAGAGCAGAAAGTGGTCACACTTATAGCTCAACACTGTGTCACAACTGCAGTCATTTTCTGTGAACTTTCCAAGGACCTTCAAACTCCTTCCTCCTAATACCTGAATTTTCAAATTCAAAG